TAATTATGATTTTTTTACAAAAATTGACTTTCTCAAAAAAAATTCTCGAAGTTTGGAATATGAATAATATCGTGTGTAAATGTTATGTTGATATTCCAAGATCTGTAAAAGTTATGGGCGATTTACCAAGAACCTGACGAGCGACCAGTTCCCCAAGCACGTCAATTCTTTGCCAAACTTCAAACGCGATTGTCTCGAGATATACTATTCAAAGACGGTTTCTAAAATATTCGGAATATGGCTCGACCGATTGCTTTAAAATTTGACACAATATTTTTGAATAGGTCTTTACATAATTATTTTTTTTTATCGAACTAGAAATATCGGAAATTAAGATCGAAGAATTAATGTAATGTTCAATCGGCTGCCATTTTATGAATTTTTTTTTTTAATCCTACCATTTGCATGTAATCTTGGAAACTGCATCCCATGTGAGCGAGGGACATCTTTTATGTCAGCCATGACAGTCGATATATATTTATAAAGAAATTTATCAGCATACCTCAACATGTATACTTTAGAATAAAAACAAACCTGGATAAAATCGAACACATAGTTTTTGAAATAATAATTCCTAAAATTCACCTATTTTTTCCGCTGTCTGCTCGGATGTTCCCCTTAAAATACCTTTGTCTGTTATGATGCCAACACAAATGGAATGAGTATGTAAAAAATGTCTCCCTCTCAACTAAAACCGACCTATTCAGTTGTTTCTATGAGAAACTTGTAGTTCTAAAGTACCTATTTGTTGGCTCCCTGCTCAAACATAAGTTTGGTGCTGATTTAAACTAGTTTTTTAATATATTTCGAAATCTGTTTGTGTATAAGAAGCATATTATATTATGCAGAATTTAGTATATTTAAAAAAAAAATAATAAACAAATGTTACATTTACATACCGAAACTGACTCAAACCTTTACAAAAAGTGTATTTCACTGAAGTAATAATTATGATTGTTGTTATTTGGAAGTAACTATAAAATACCATAAATAGTGTGTAATACTTTTAAACATTTTTTTTTTCAGAGAAGTTACTTCCCTTGGATGTTGTCTAAGCAGTGAAAAAAAAAAAAAAAATAGGTCATAACGGCAATACTAAGAGAAAGTAACTTCACTGGATAGAAGGACATATTAAATGGACATCTACTACGACAATATGCCGAACAAATTAATATACATTTAGTGAATTTGCAGTGTTTTTTCTACTGTCTTAGGTTCTAGACTATCGCAGAGAAGCAAATGTGTTAACAGCATAATACCTGCTAGTAGAACCACATCATAGACATAACTACACAGTGTATTTTTTTAAATTTAATTTATCAAAATTATATGTACATTTTGAGCAATTCTACCTTCCAAGTATTTTACTGTGCAGCTAGAGTTGCCAGATCTCCCCTTTTCAGCCCAAAATTTCCGATTTATAGAACAATTCTCAAAGCTTTGGCTGAAAAAGCAAATTCTGCAGCTGAGACGAAAATTTTGGTTTTGGTTGCTAGTAAATAAATAAAAAAGAACTATTTAATTAACACTGCTTAAAATGTTTTTTTTAAATATAATAGAACAGTTACATTATAACATTTCCCCAACTGAATTGCAACCAGCGATCTGGCGACCCTCTGTGCAGCCGCTTTGGAAAATATATAAGCATTTAAATAACATATTAAAAATTCCGTACCCCGACAGCTCACGGACCTATCTATATGAATATAAAAACTACGGATACACATAGGTATGTCCAATATTACCAATATTACAAAGATATTAAGTTAAACGCACTTTCGTAAATATTTACATATATGATTAATAACTTGATTACATAACTTTATCTTAAAATATCTCTTTAATTTCTTTGTAACACTGCAAATATACATCGGTGACTCAAACCATAGACAGACAGACATATTACCCCTACAGCATGTTTCGTATTGATGTTAGCGACTCTATGTACGAGACATATCCACAAAGTAAGAGTACTGAGACTCTGATGCTGTGTGGTTTTCGTTTTTGACAAAGTTGGCAACACTTCATTCAAGGCCAAGGTGTTGGGAACTGTTGTTGTAGTGGCGTGTTGAAAAAATGAGTACCGCTATTTCGAATCCAGCCAGCTGAAAGGTGCCATTTCAGATTTTTAACGGAAATAAAACTGATTATGAAGGTGGTGCGAGGAATCGTACTAATGTTTACAAGTGGTGTCGCGAGCATAAACCTGGCAAAACAAATGTTCATGATGAACAAAGGAGAAAATCATGGTATCTGAATTTTGGGATTCATTGATTTTTTGCAGGGAGAAACAATTAATGCTGCGTGGTATCGTGAAACTCTGAAAACACTACGGAGGGTGATACAGACCAAAGGAAGGGGAATATTAACGAAGGGAGTGTGCTTGTTGAATGACAATGCACGTCCCCACACAGCCAACACCACAAAGCAACTCTTGGATCTATTCAGTTGGAACATCATTAACCACCCCGCTCACAGCCCTGACCTGACACCTTTCCATTTTCATCTTTTCTCTTCTCAGAAGGTTTTTATGGGTGGAGAAAGGTTTTCTACCGATGATGAGGCTCACAAAGTGCATTGAAGTTGAAGGTGACTATGTCGAAAAATAGTATTTGATTGTATATGTAAATTTTTCATAAATGTACCGCTGTTTCGATTTTAGAAAAACTGAGTGCTCTTACTTTGTGGATATGCCTTGTTGTTGTAACACCGTAACACCGTTTAAGACAAAATTTAAACAAGACACCCTAAATGTTTTATTTAGCGAAAACTGCGGCTGAGTCCTACGGTCCGGGTCACCTGGTATACAAATATACATACACACATATGGAGCTTAAATAAATAATGACTAAAATTACTTCACTATATATTTCTTTAGTCTTGTTGCATTTTCAAACAAATGCACACAAATAAAATATATCAACTCATAATATTGATATACCAATCACACACAGTATGATTAAATAGATGACATTTCACCAACATTGTTTGAGCTGTAGATAGAGAATAAGGATTTTAAAGGTATAAGATAAACTCAGTTCTATTTTGTGTTTTTAATGTCACATTTTTTTCAATTGTACCGTTTAAAATAGAAATTTTACCTTATCAAAATCTACACCTCATTTTCCAATAAAACTGGAATAACTAACCGTCAAATTCATTAAAATTGAAATGCATCGTTTAGTTGTATTTAATGTGAATAAGAATGTCCGATGAACATTTTCATAAATATTTCGATCATTTCTGAAATGACAATTTTCCTCTTCATCTGTGACTATATTGCCATCTTAAGAACTTTATTGCACAAATCTGTTATATAATAAAAATATACTTCTGCATTTAATTTTACGTTTACTGTTTACATTTTAGAAAAAGGCTTACTAGTTATAAGAAAATAACGCATTGCTGCTAATATATAAAAATACTATTTTGAAACGAAAACTTGTGAACCCAAATGTTCAGGTGACCTGTTAGTAAATTACTGGCAATTACAGTGAACAGTGTTATCTAATTTCTAGATATTATTCAATGCTAACATTTTCAATTCCCTTTTTTAAGTAGGTTTCTAAATAGAAATAGCACTCTTGCAATATAAGTTAGTCAAATAAACAACATTGACGTTATTCTAAGTAATGGAATTATTATAATAGTGAGGATTTTCAATTTTTCTTTTTAGTATCTGTCAAAAATGAATTTACGAAATAACACAGTCTGGCTATTAAGTTGTAAGACAGATTTTATTGTGGCGAAATACGTGACGCTATTTATATACAGTCAACGGAACTACATAGTTTGAAGCCTTCCTAGCGACCGAACAATATTTCAACAGCATACCTGTATCTACCACGAAGTTATAATGTTTTGCATGAAACGAGTTTTTGATAGTTGTCATGGAAACGCACATTGCGTATTGCAATAAAATTCTGTTTTCACTGCAATCTGACCATCGATCAAACGTACACGGTCTGTTAACATGATAATGTTTAATCAACGATCAGACTTAAACGTAGAGCGTACTGGATCGATGATTTTGTTCGTTCGGCTTATGCGTCCCCCCATCATCGTGCAAGCTGTCGCGAACTCCTTACCATACACCGTTTGTAATATGTTTCGGAGGCTATTTTACCGGTTTTAAAATAGAACTTGATTACTGTACGCTATTCAATGTGCGTTTCCATGCTCAAAGCTCGTTAAAACTGATGAAATTTTGTTCATTCGGAAGACTTTCCACTACGTAGTTTGGTTGAACGCACATAGATAGCGCCATTTACGAAATTTTTATTCTTTTCAAATATTACATAACAAAAACAGTATTTCTTTATACGTTTAATATGTTTTTTAACAATAAAAATTGATTATGCATTTTTAAATTTATGTTAATGGTAAATATTTGTTATGCAACATATCAACAGTCAAATAAAATATTCCATAGGAATTAAAAATTTTGATAATCCCCTAAAAAATATACAGGGTATAGCGAAAGTATCGGAATGGCAGAATAACTCGGCGGGAGAGCATTTTAGAGAAAAATATGTTCCAGGATTTCTCCCTGGCTATCCGATGGTGACCTTGACATTGACCTTGAAGATCATTTCAAGGTCAAATGTGATTTCTCAAATGTGACCCTATACTTTTGACCCCAGAAATGAAAAGAACGGAAAATGTTACGTTCATATATGACCTTAAGTGACTCCTCCCTTTTGACCTTGGGGCCCCACAAGGTCAAACTAACGAAAGTACAGGAACGGCAGAATAACTCGGCGGGAGAGTATTTTAGAGAAAAATGTTAAATACAAAAGTTTCAGGATTTCTAACTGGCTATCCGATGGTGACCTTGACATTGACTTTTGTATTTAACATTTTTCTCTAAAATGCCCTCCCGCCAAGTTATTCTGCTGTTCCTGTACTTTTGTTAGTTTGACCTTGTGGGGGCGCCAAGGTCAAAAACGAGGGGTCACTCAAGGTCATATCTGAACGTAAAATTTTCTGCTCTTTTTATTTCTGGGGTCAAAAGTATAGGGTCCCATTTGAAAAATCACATTTGACCTTGAAATGATCTTCAAGGTCATCTTCGGATAGCCAGGGCGAAATCCTGAAACTTTTGTATATAACATTTTTTTCTAAAATGCTCTCCCACCGAGTTATTCTGCCATTCCGGTAATTTTGCTATACCCTGTACATAAAGAATTCCACAAACTAGAACACCATATGTCACAACGCTGATATCATTCAAGGACAACTGATAGAAACAATGGTTTCATTATCATTAAAAAATAAAAAAATGAGGAAATCATTCCACTGACAACATAAAATGTAAAAAAAAAATACAAGAAAATGTATGACTTTACTTGACTAGTACTTTGTTCTGAAAAGCTCCTTTTTGATTATTTTTTTATAACGTTTTTTTAAGTTTGTGGAATTGCTGATCCATTCACTTTAAAAATTATACTTTATTGCTGAATCCACCCAAACTGTTAGTCAACAAATACCGTTTTATTCATTTGTTAATAATATATCTATTAAAAAAAAATTAGTGCTTGTATAATTATTTTGTTGCATTCATCCTGGTCTTAATTTTTTTTTTAAATGGAGACATTTTCTAAGCAATATCATGTTTTGACTTTTCAAATTTAAATTTTTACCTTAAAAATGTAGCCGACGTGGTGAAATGTAGACTAAATATGTTTTTTTTTTTTTTGTAAGTGGCAATGGAAAAGTTCGAAATCAGCACGATATCTTTAAATAAACTTTCAATAAAGACCGAATTTACGTTGGAAATTAACAGAAGAATCCAGGAAAAGACATTAATTGCTCGTTTCCTTTGATGATGTTCAATAATTTGATCTCGTGTATAATCATTTTAAAAAAAATATAACAAACATATTTAAAAGGCATAACTAAATAATTAGTTAAAAAGTATCAAAATTAATCTTACAAGTTAAAAATCACCATATATCAGTACGGATGGAGATTTGCATTGAAACGAAGAGGCTTTACTGAGATGGAAAGCTTACTTTTCATTTAGGTGAATCTTCTCCGCTCCACTCCTCTAGTTCCTCTTGCAGTCTCAATTCTAATTCCCGCATATCATTAGCGATATCAGCTTCATACATGGCCTCTTCTGAAGTGCCAACTGTTGGGTTGCCATTGTTATAATTACCCATGACTTGATTTAAGGAATGGACTATCTTGTTCTGTAACAAGTAGTGAAGCTTATTATCGCAATTCAGGCTTTTCAAATAATAAAATGATTAAATTTATATGTCAATTTGGTAGTCATATTTTTTTTTTGGAAAACATGTTAATTTTAATTTGTCCATTTGATAATGATTCTATACAGGGTGTTCCAATTAAAATATCCCACCTGTAAAATATCGGAATTAAAAAAAAAACAAAAAACCTGAGATACATCGATTTTCTTTTCAAGGGGGACACGTGGTGGCGTAAGTTTTGGTGTCTTGGAAGTTATCCTTTAAGCAGGGGCATAAAATACCCTTAAACTTTAAATAGCACCCTATGTTGAGTGACACCTCATTTTAAGGCTTTTTCAATTTTGCTCACGACGACAAACGACTTTTTAAATTTTAATTTGGATGTCAAGAAATGAATATGAATGAAACGAAAGGATGTTATTTTATTAAGTGTTCAAATTGGTTTTCCTCCACCTTCCACACAATAATAAAATCTTTGCTCCACTTCCGAATGAACATTTTGAAGCATTTATCAATACATAAACTTCATACTCTATCCGTTCAACTTTTTTTATCTGTTTTACTTTAAATGAGACAATATTGCCTCGTCTTGTCTTGTCGAGACAATATCCCGTAAAATCATCACAAAATCGATTGAATTCCAATTCGTAAAAATGGTTTATACAATTGCTTAAAGTGGAAATAATTAATTTGTTCTACAAGAAAATCGATTTTTAATGATCATCATCCTGACAAAAATACTTCGCATCGGTATGTCCTGGATTTAGTGCATAAATTTTCAGAAGCTGTATAGGTTGCAAATAGAAAGCAGCAACGTGAACAGGTCGTACGTAATGAGGGTAAGGGAGCTGTCCTGGGTCACATCGCAATGGAACCAAATTTGAGTCTCCGGAAACTTGCAAGTACTTGCAAGTTTAGGAATTTTTGTATCTAGTTGCCGCCGAATCTTAAAAATTCGTAAGTGCCACCCATACAAAATTAATTTGGCTCAAGAAATTAATGAAGAAAATCCTGATCGCCGCTTGCAGTTCTGTGAAGAACTGAGTGATCGGGCTCCACTCAATCTGTTTTTCCGATGAATGTACTTTCCAACTGGATGGTTAAGTCAACCACCATAATTGCCGCTACTGGAGTGATGAAAGTCCACACATTTTTTATTAAACTCATACGCAATGTGTGATTTTCTTAATGACTGAATCGGACGCAGAAGTTCAATTGAGCAGCCTCCCAGATCGCCAGATCTAACGCCCCTAGACTTTTTTCTATGGGGGCACTTAAAGTCGAAAATTTATGCAACACGACTGAACTCACTTGAGGAGCTTGTTGAAGAATGTCATCAGATAACGCCCAAAATGCTTCGAAATGTTCCTTTGGAAGTGGAGCAAATATTTTAATATTGTATGGAGGCCGATGAAAACCAATTCGAACATTTAATAAAATAATATTCTGTCATTTTGTCTTATTCTTTAAGTGATAATTTTATTGTCACATCGAAACCTAAATTTAAAAATATATCATCGTGAGCAGAATTGAAAAGGCTTTAAAATGAGGCGTCACTCTACATAGGGTGCCATTTAATGTTTAAGGGTATTTTACGCCCCTGCCTGAGGGGTAGCTTCCAGGACACCAAAACTTACGCCATCAAGTGTTTCCCTTGAAATAAAAATCGACGTCTCAGGTTTCTTTTGTTTTTTTTTTCAATTCTGATATTTTCCAGCTGGGATGTTTTAATTGGAACACCCTGTATATTGTAAAAACCAAAACATGTTATAATTTAATAATTAGTTTTAGTTTAATAAATATTAGCCTCTTCCAGGCAACAAATACTGAAAAGTAAGGGATTTCGAGTAGATTTAGAGTCACCTCATAAAGTCATCAAGAGAGTTATGTCTGCAAAACTTTCGTTACCAAAGGTAATAAATTTACAAAACTTAGCCGTCGTTGCCACTTAGAAGAAGGCCATCATCATACATTCTAGAAAGTACATTGAATAAGTAGACTTGCAAACATTTCTGGCCATCTGATAAGAATCTTTTTGGGACAACAAGAAAGGAATAACGATATTTGTTCTTCATGGGCTCCTCAGGTATATACCCGCAAAAATAAGAAGGAATAGACATAGGAATTCAAAACACCGCCATATACTGTCATAATGTTTTAAGGAAATTAATGCCGAAAATAATAGAGGTAGAGATAGTTAATAGAAGTTTTTCGAAGTCTTTTCTTTCTCGAAAAAACAAATGAATTAGGTCAGCGAAGGCTTCCCTCCTTCAGAGACGTATGTCGAAGGAAGGTGTAAAAATAGGGTTATATTCGGTTTTGTAACATACTTACCAATATGAAATAGTAAAATAATCCCTAGAAAGTTCCTGAGATTCAGGAGAGGGGGGGGGGGATCGAATCGACAAGATGGCAAGTACCTAAGGCATAAAGTAGACACCTGCTTTGCCCTTAATAGTCTGAATTGGCAAAACTTCTGCACCCAAAGTGGGTGGGATCGAAGTAAAAGTGTCGAAATCTAGTGAGATCTTCAAACAGGCAGTTCTCCTAGGATTTCCACACCGTCCGATCTATTTAACTTAAGAGTCTCGGAGTTAATTTATTAATGGGTAATATTTTGCTTCAAATTCTGCCATGTGTATGCTACGCACTTCTATATCGTTGATAACCAATTAATTTTGAGACGTGCTACATGATCACTAGATTGGTGAAAAAATTGCGAAACATTTTATATACTTTATATATAAAAAACAGTCACAGAGGCCAAAATTCTTAGCAAAATGTCTTTACCGCTATCTGGAGAGAGATCAAGCAACTACATTGAGTTTTTTATACTCAAATCGCGACCTCATACAAAACAGTAAAAACTGTAATTGCAAAACAATTTTCTAATATAAAAATACATTCGCTGTTGTAGAGGAATTTATCTTACCAAACAGGCCTCTTTTTGTTTCTCTTGTATACCCTGCTCAATCAGTTGAAGTTCCTGAGTGAGCCGTTCACTCTCACTCAAATTTGTTACGCCCTGTGTGGCCAGTTTCAAATCATTTAACTGCCTCTCTAAGTTACGCAGCTGAAGTTTAACTCTTTGAGATTCAGCTATAAGCTCTTTAGAAGGATCTTGTAGTCTTGAGTGCAAGATCAGTTGAGGAGAACCTGAGAACAAAGAAATATTATGCAGATAAGTCAATTCTGTACCGTCCTAAAGAGATAAAGACTTATCTCACAAAATTCATGGATAATGCTACTGATTTCATCAATTAATACACTTCACATTGTCAGGCAATAAGGTTATAAATGTATTGACCCAAATTTAAACGATTTCCAATGAAAAATTTAGAAATTATCAGTAAAAAACACATTTTTTTATTTTAGACATCTATTTCGAAAACGAAGCATTTGCGGACCTACGTTTATAGCATTTTTTGTTCGTATTTTTAGATATAGAATCTGCTCTAGAATTCTCTGAACAACATTTTGCAACACCCTGTATACATGTTTCAGACTGTCCTCATCAGTATGCTATAGGTGCTAGATTTCGTTCCTTTGGAACGATACCAGTAAATTTAATATTGCATCGCTGCCACCGACAAAAGCAGTAGCACGACAACATTCGTTCCTATCACCAGGTTCAGCAGTGATATGGAGTTGGAAAAAATGCAGAGCGGTGGGGATGGAAAAAAGCAAGAATGCTGTCACCATACTCGAGCCCCCAGCTCCAGCAAACTTGCTAAAACTAATTTCTTGCAAATGTAAAAACGGATGTCGGGGAGTCTGTGGATGCAGAAAGGCTGGACTAAAGTGCTCCCTTATCTGCACGAATTGCAATGGTAGGTACCTGCGACAATTCGGCTGTTGATCTGCAAGACAGTGATGAAGAGGAAGATACGGAGACAGTTCTTGGTCCATCAGGGATAGCGAAGCGAGGGAGAATGCACTAAATTTAGTCAACAGTGCTTCACATGTGGATTAGGCCTACTGGGGATATCACCAAAAAAAAAAAAAACGCACCAGGAACTCTACTCATGGTGGTGTGTAACTCAAAAACCAAACATTTTTTATTTAACTTTTTTTGCTTAGATCGTATTTATTTATCGTCGTGAATATGCCGTCAAACGTTGTCGGTGAAATTTGTGCACACCCTGTAGAACACCTTGTGGTGTTTCAAATTTTGGAGAAGCAACTCAAGGAGGGGAACCACATTAGGAGGGTCAAAAAATTGGATTTTTTTTATTGCATACATTGTTAATATAACTACTCAAATGCTTCAAATATTTCAAAACAAAGTTCCTATTGATTTCAATTTTGAGCCTATAACCAAACGCCCATCAGGTCTGCGCTCGGGCGCAGCAGGTAGGAAGCAGCGCTTGTTCAGGTAGTCTAGTCACTTATTTTTTTTTTAACGTAACAAAACACACCACAGAAATGAGACAACCCCTAAATACAAAGCCAACGGCTGTGCGGAAGGGGGTTGCACTTGAAAAAACGGGGACAAACATCCATTATCCATCGATAATGTCAGTGCCGACGCCAGGGATCGAACCTGGACCAGAATAGCAAGTCTAGCCAAGAAATGCTTGCCACGACATGCTTGACCGATTACGCTACCACTTATTAAACAAGAATAGGACAGATGCAAGCTGAAAATGATGCCTATATGGTGCTGAAATCGCTGATTGATTGGAAAGTACTCTATATTATTGACAACTTTTTCAAATTTCTAGTTTTCAGAAGTCTTCAAATGCATATTTTTGGTTCAAGCGAACTCCAGCTCAAAAAGTTATGAACCGATCGTTATAAAAACTGAAAGTATGTTTTTTTTTATGAAATTACAAAGAACATGAACCACATAATTTTAAGAGTTTTTAATTCAAAATGAGTGGAAGAAAATGGTTAAAATCAATACATTTTTTGCAAACGTGTTAAAACTTCAATTTTCAAAATTTTGACCCGCAATGACGTTCATATTCTTAGAAAACATGTTAATAATCCAGGAAAACAACCATTTTGCTTTCAGATCAAAATTGCGACCTCCACATTTCCCTTGAACAACCAACTTGCACGATGACCTTCGGTGAACAACAGCCTATAACTACGGCATTTTCAATTGTTGTTCTTGCGTTGAAAAATTTGTAAATATAGTTGAAAATATTGATAAAATAATGTCAAAGTTTCATCAAATTCTAATCAATTTATCCCTCAAAAAAAATCCATGAGAAACGTCTGAAAATCAGCCTCCCAATGTGCGTTTCCCCCCTTAATGCTGAAACCGAATAACCAAATCTGATCGATGACTCACCATAAGCTACGTATCCATCAGTCATTCCATTTCCCGGCGGTCCAACCACATTATGACTAGTAGGTATGGGTTGATGAAAGTGGTTGTTGTTATTGTAATACCAAGAAGCAACGGGACTAGCTGATGACATTGGCCTCCTTATCTTAAAATTTATAGAAACGAGTGAATTATTAACGGAACGTATTGCACGTCATATATGAATTTTAGAACACTTCAATATTTACCAAAGACGAAGAATCTCTATAAGGCGCAGATTGGCTGATGCCGTTGTCCTTATGCATACGAGAAATCGGACCATATTTATTAATAGCGGGATAATCGTAAGGTACGCAATCATCGTCTGCGGCCAATATAGAGTCAGATCTAACGAAGGTAGGTCCGGAATTGATTTGTCCCGACCAAAAATTGTAGGGAGACGTGGGACTATCCAAGTCATGTTGCGATTCTTGCCGCGCGAGACTACTAGCCGTATTGGATATTTCAGTAGCGGCATTTTTTCCTACTACCTTCTCGAGCTGCGATATCACTTCTTGTTTCCTTTGATGGAGTTCGGCAAGGGTCTTCGTAGACACGCGATTAGTTTTTTGAGTCTGCTGGTAATTCTGATTTTTCATCTGGAAAGAAATGAAATGCAATGTAATCACAAGAGAGGGGTCACGGAATTAATAGCAACTCACCATTACATCCCAATTGGGTCTCTTAACGATATCCACGTTTTGTGGAGCGTGATGATTAATGTTCGCATATTCAGTTTGTTGAGTAGGGTAAAATTGACCACCATTGGCTAGTACCACATTACTCGGGTTAGAGGTGTACATTTCGTGAATTGGAAATGTACCGGCCTGTGGTTGGTATATGGCTTGAGAAAATGGTTGACTTGGTGGGTAACTTTGATTGGGATGATAAGGAACATCATAGCTCATACGAGGAATTTGTATAGGTATCGGGACGGGGCTTACCGTGGTTGTATTAGGTATAGAGTAATAATCATCTGTCTGTTGGTAGTTCTTGTCTGTAGGAGACTGATTCTCCACACGATGTTCTTTACTTCTGTTTATAGACTTTCTATTCTGAAATAAAAAGAAAATGTTTTTCATAAAAGGAATTTAAGAATTAATTTTAAAAATGTATAACTTTGTTATACAGTAGTAGTGTTTTATATAGTACCCCTAGTTTTTGCTTTAATGGCTGCAAAATGTTATAACAAAACATAATTTCAGTATGCGCGTGCTTCAGAACTTGTGCTAAACTTATTATTAAACAAATAGTGAAAAAATTGGAAAAAATTCCATTTTTTTTCTCTTTTTTTCAACGCGGTTCAAAAACTATTCATTTTAGAGAAAGTTTGAAGAGGAAAAAAGATTCGTAATTAACATAATTATTGCAAATATAGCAAAAACAAAAAAAAGTGAAAAAAATTACAATATTTGTGATTTTTTAAAAGTACTTATAAAGGGTGATTCATTAACAATGGGAAAGTCGAAAGCTGAAGATACTACACGTGAAACGGTGACGATTGCCTTATCTGAAAGTTAATAGTTTCGGAAATACAGGGTGTTAAAAGTTAAAATTTTAAATCGTTTTTTTGCGATTATTTTGAAAATATGTAGGTTAGGAACTTGAAAATTTGTGAAACTATATTTTTTTAGGCGACGAATGAGATGCGTGTTGTAATTTCAGCATTGCTCATAGAGGGCGCCATTTACGACCAGTTTTACCGAAAATTTAGTTAATAATTTTTTACCCTTTATGAAACTTGATTCAAAACCTGAAAGAGCAATCATTTTTCCATTAATTATGTACTCTTGTTTCATTTCGGTATCTCGATCCGTTTTCGAGAAAAATCGATTTAACGAACACTATGTTTTGATAATATGAGAAATTAAAAGCGAAACAAACCAAGTGTTTCTTCGTGTTATTACAACAATTAACAATAAAACAAATAAAATACGTAATTATGATTTAAAGTAATTGTTCGAAGAATCCACCGTTGACACTGATACACTTTACACGTTTTCTGAGAGATCTTCGAGTTTGAAACAACATATTGGGATTGCGTCTGACTTCGTTGGCAGCGATTTGTATTCTTTGCCACAACTCTTCACACGAGCCAATAGATTCTTTGTAAACTATATCTTTCATTCGAGACCAAATAGAAAAATCAAGAGGATTGAAGTCCGGACTTCTGGATGGCCAAGCAAAAATGCTTACATGGCCAATCCAGCGATTTGGAAAAACTGCATCTAAATATGCACGCACTGGCCAAGAAAAATGCGGTGGAGCTCCGTCGTGCATGAACCACATGTCTCTTCTTAAATAAAGTGGAACTTCTTCAAGCCGTGGAAGCATTTTTACTTGGCCACCCAGAAGTCCGGACTTCAATCCTCTTCATTTTTCTATTTGGAAGAATCTATTGGTTCGTGTGAAGAGTTGTGGCAAAGAATACAAATCGCTGCCAACGAAGTCAAACGCAATCCCAATATGTTGTTTCAAACTCGAAGATCTCTCAGAAAACGTTGTGTAAAGTGTGTAAATGTCAACGGTGGATTCTTCGAACACTGACTTTAAATCATTATTACGAATTCCATTTGTTTTATTGTAAATTGTTGTAATAACACGAAGAAACACTTGGTTTCTTTCGTTTTTAATTTCTCGTATTATCAAAACATAGTGTTCGTTAAATCGATTTTTCTCGAAAACGGATTGAGATACCAAAATGAAACAAGAATACACAATGGAAAAATGATTGCTCTTTCAGGTTTTGAATCAAGTTTCATGTTAGACACACAGGGTAAAAAGTTATTAACTAAATTTTTGGTAAAATTGGTCGTAAGTGGCGCCCTCTACGAGCAATGCTGAAATTACAACACGCATCATATTCGTCGCCTAAAAAAATATAGTTTCACAAATTTTCAAGTTCCTAACCTACATATTTTCAGAATATTCGCAAAAAAACATTTAAAATTTTAACTTTCAACACCCTGTATTTCTGAAACTATCAACTTTCGCATAAGGTATGTTTGCGCCAATGGTCACCATTTCACGTGTAGTATCTTCAGCTTTCGATTTTCCCATTGTTAATGAATCACCCTGTATTATAGGTAGGATCTTCATACTTGGCCAAAAAAATCTTTTTGATATAATAAAATATCACACCAATTTTCGGTTAAAATCGGTCCCATAGTTTTCGAGTAATAATTTTGCAGATCCAGATCCAATCCAGATTTTTGCAAATTTAACTGAGTCTAAATTAAGACTTCTAGATACTTGAAAATTTTATCACATAAAAAAGGGCACTCGAACTTTCAAATGCGTTCAGAAAAATTGAAATCCATTAATTAGGAGTTCTAAGATAATTTGATTTTAAAAATTTATTTATATAATTATTGTTTGAACAAATTTTGAATGCTTAAACAAATTGAATACAATATACGGATAAAAACTGTATAAATTTGAGTAATATTTATTAATAGAATAAAGAAAAATACGAGAAAAGTAAAGCAAATTAAAAAGTAGTAATTATCAATACCTTAATATGTCGATAATTAACAATAATTTGCATTTGAATATGCGATATTTGGACTTTTCAGCTCGCAAGACATAGATTTAAAAAAAAACATCAAAATCGGACCACTAGAAGCCGAGACAATCAAAATTTTTAAGCGCGCCATGTTGAACACGCGATTTCAATTTCCAGTCGGTCAGAGTAGCCGAGCTCTTGACCCACCACCACTACCTCCCATACATTTTTCGTGAATTTTATGCTGGATCCAATAGTTTTAATCAATATTTTATATGGGTTGCACAAGGGCGCAAGTTACAAATTTACTCCCAGAAAGTACTCGAAATGACAAAGGTATTTGTTTAAAAAACAGCCAGACCTCGTAGTTACGCCACAAATGCCAGTCAAATTTATTCGACTATAACTCTGAAACCAATTAACGAATCACCACGTTTTTTTAAAAAAGAAGCGTCTTTCCGAGTATTTTAAAAGCATAATTTACAAAAAATAATTATAATGAATTTATAAAGTTATTCTATTTGTTTATAAGCGCAAAAATTGCGCATGTTTAAACAATTGCCACGGCTCTCCTAATTAACGGATTTCAATTTTTCTGAACGCATTTTAAAGTTTGAGTGCCCTTTTCTATGCAATAAAATTTTCAAGTATCTAGAAGTCTTAATTTAGGCTCAGTTAAATTTGCAAAAATTTCAATTTTTTTTCAAGAATCTGGATTGCAAAATTATTACTCAAAAACTATCGGACCGATTTTAACGAAAATTGGTGTTGTTTTATTATATCAAAAAGATTTTTTTAGCCAAGTATGAAGATCCTACCTATAATATAAGTACTTAAAAAAAAAAATCGCAAAAATATTGTATTTTTTTTCATTTTTTTTTTGTTGTTTTTGCTATATTTGCAATAATTATGTTGAATTTTTTTATTTAAAAATAGGTATATCATGTATAAAATTTAATTTCAAATTAGCAAAGCTGACCGGCGGCTTACTATTCACGAAATCGCTTTAAAGGTGAATATTAGTTATGAGACCTCAAACAATCGTCAGAAATCAGAGCCCTTTTCTTTATTGACGATTTCGGAATCATAACACGTTACGATTCGATTGAAACCAATCAGGTTGCTAGATTTCGGATCGTAACGTGTTATGATTCTCAAATAATGAATAAAAGAAAAGAGCTCAGGTTGGCTACAATAAAATCTGTGCTCAATGGCTTCTGATGTTGTTGACCGAAGATCAAAAAAACATCCGATTGCAAATCAGTGAGAGACTTCTGAATCGATTTCGATGGGAACGAGAGACTTTTTTGAAGCGTTTCGTGTCGTGATGAAACTTGGGTGGATTATTATACTCCAGAATCAAAATTGGCAGGTAAGGAAAGGCGAAGGATAGACAAAACCTGCCCTGTGAAAGGTAAAACCAGTCTCTCGGCCGGTAAGGTTCTTGCGACTGTTTTTTTTTTTGACTGGAAAGAAGTTTTGCTGATTGATTTTCTATATTATCCATGTACGCTTATACTGCTAGCTGTTGGAGGCAACAAAATCCGCTTACAACGGTAAAAGACGAGCTGTCCCTATCAGAAACATCCTCCTTCGAACATGACAACACACGGCAATTTTGACAAAAAAAAAAAAACTTCTAAATAATAAATAAGTGTAAAACAATTTCAGTTTATATTTGATTCACCCTCGTAAAACTTATCTCTATCCGAAATTGCTTCGTTTAGCCGCTAAAAGAAATTGTTTTTTATTTATAAATTTAACCTATATTTAACTGTACTATTGTAAATAATTGAGTCACTACTATGACAATAATATGGACGTATTACACTCGCATCCGATTTCCCTCATTCTGCAAATTATCCTCAATTGCAATTTCTCATCGACTTGATTAAATTTAACACTTCTCAGGAGATTCAAATTTTATAGTCTCAGTATACTCAAAGAAACAGCGAGAAAAATCAAAATTTTTGTAATAAAAATTAATGATGATATTTTGTCCTCAAGTATGCGGTGGTTCCATGGACATGGAACATTGGGACACCCTGTATTTACTATAGGGCACCCTGTATTTATTTTAATTTCAGCAACATTTTACTCGGGTTGTTGTAAAAAGGCTTGAAAAACTGAAAACATTAGGTACATAGGACACGAGGGTCCACCACCACCAGGAGGCAGTGCAATCGATGCCATCAGTTTATTATTTAAGCTGTTGTAATTAGATAATATATAAAATAAATGTCATAAATAATAATGACAAATACATTATTTGTGACATTTAAGGGCATTGACTACCATGACCTCTGGATCGTGATCTACAAACTGCACTCCCGCAAGAAAAGTGACACAAGTCCAAATTTTTTGAATTTCTGTTTTTGTGCTGTAAATGTAACAGCAAGATANATTTATTTATTTATTACAATCATTTGGCAAGTTTTTAAAAATTTTTGCAGGAATCAGCCTAATTGTATCATTTATTTTATTAGTTTCTTTAAACGAAAAATGCAAACTGAAACAAAAAATGTTTGTTAAAAAATCTGTAGAATGACAGAGCACGAGCAAACTAACCGTTCTTCAATGTGCGACGTTTCCGCGTTTGATTTATGTGAATAATCACATGAAAAACTTAAAAGTTTAAGTATTAATATCTTTAATCCTAGCTGACCAATCCTTTCCAGATTGTTATATATACAAATTAATTAGTCTTGCCTAAAATTTGAACAGTTTCTTGAATGAAAACATCATTAAGCCTTACTAAACATAGCCAACTTTGATTAAGCATAACTCAGAAACTATGTGGTAAAATGAACTGAAATTTTGCAAAAGTATCTATCAGGCGCATAATTAATTATGCTGAAGGTTTCGTAATTATCTGGAATAGTGTCCATTTAGGTGATAGCTACTACATTAACAAGTTACATGATATTTGTTTCAAGTACAATGGTTTGTTGGGTCGTTATGCCGAATCTTTGACCTGATCTCACAGCGACTCAGTTGCGGTGAAGCTTTCACATTCACCACTGAAGATGCCTACAGTGAAGAATGGCGAAACATTAGTGGCCTTAGAATCACTAACAAGAACCGAAGTAAACATCAGGGCAAGCCTAGAGGTCTAATATCCTAAGATCTAACCCGAGAACAAGGGCAAGTCAAAGATTCCTAGTTAAGCTGAAGTCTGTATAAGACTGTAATTGGCAGCGAGCAGTTATACATTTCATGGCATAACAATCCGAACAATCTTACTGCTGCTAAACATTCACTACATTCACTCCATGAGGGAGATGGTGACTCTGAAAAATAAAATCTATTTAATTAACATTAAAAATTTGTAATTATTTAAATAAATGAAAGTAGATTTAAGGTAGTTATATCTCAAGTACAGAGTTCAAGTTGAAAACTTTCCAGCAAGTCTCATATTTCAGTCGCGTAGTTTCGACAACTGGCAACGTTGTACAGAGCGCAGCTGTGTGTGACAGAGATTGATGAAAACTTATATTTACGGGGCACAAAGTTAGAAATAGAGTGAATGCATTACAATCATTTGGCAGGTTTTTAAAAATTTTTGCAGGAATCGTTCTAAATGTATCATTTATTTTATTAGTTTCTTTAAACGAAAAACGCAAACTGAAACAAAAAAGGTTTTAGTTCAAAATTCTATAGAATGACTGAGCACGAGCAAACTAACCGTTCTTCAATGTGCGACGTTTCCGCGTTTGATTTATGTGAATAATCATATGAAAAACTTAAAAGTTTGAGTATTAATATCTTTAATCCTAGCTGGTCAATCCTTTCCAGATTGTTATACAGGGTGTTAGTAAATAAGTGCGACAAATTTCAGGGGGTGATTCTACATGAGAAAATAATGGCAGTTTGCTTATAAACGTATGNATATCTGTGGTAATCTAAGTCATTGTTCAATGGTCTAATTGTAAATTCCATTGCTAAGTCAGTCATTCATGGCAATGTTCTGTTGTGGTTGTTTGTGAAGCTTGTGTTTATTGTTTTCTTGTATGATTTTCTGTTATTTTAGAATTTAGATATTCTTTTGCATAATGCAATACAGGGTGTCCGGAAATTTAAGCAACAAAATTTGGTCATAGATTATTAAGTCAAATTTAGGGGACCCGTATTTTTTCTTTTTGCCAACTGGCCCCCTCTTTCGGAGTTACAGCCCCCTGAAATCTGCCCCTAAGAAGCCTTTTTTATATCTCAAAACCATGTTGTACGAGAATCACTAAATTTTGGTACACAGGGATTTTATGACATGTGGAATCTCACAGTGCTACTCTTTATAATATTACCATGTAATGTAATTATATGTATTTACAGACGTTATCAATAGTGCTCACATAAATGGTGTAATAAATGTTTTCATTTAATGTCGTTTTCTTCAATTATTTCCCTTATACAGGCTGTTACAAATTCGCTTCTCACTACAGGGATTTCGGGAACGGTAAGAGGTACGAAGTAGCTTAAATGGGGGCAAAGTTGCGTAATCAGGGGACCAACATTATGCCTCTAAAAAATCAAGGCTAACATGATTAGTTTTCGAAATATTTGAAAAAAAAATACGAAATATTGGAAATCTGTTTTTGTTTAATTTCAGCCTTGTTTGAGGCGATATTGAAAAAAGAATAACACTTTCTCATGGCCACTTTTTGCCTTCTATCGAATGGCATAATCAATTTTTATATGTAACATTTCGTCTCTCCAGGACCATTATCAACTTCATTTATTTAAATATGACCCTGAAAATTTTATTACATTTTTTGCAAGCCTTCATGACCCCCAATAGTGTACTGCCACAGTCCGAACCAGACTCAAGACGTTTTGTCTCGAAAAATTCATCTTCAGTGTATTCGTTCCAAATTTATCTAAATTTTTTATTTAATTTCTTTGTTGATTGAATTATCGTATACTGTAAGTGTCATTAGACATTATATCGAATATCACTGAATGATAAAACAAATATTTATATCTACCTTTGCTCTATATTTCTCCAATTCCTCATTAGAATGTGCAAATGTGCAATTAGTGCCCCTAGGGCAACTTCCTCTTAAAGTTAAATCACGACACATACTAATTTTATATTTAGCATGTTGAGAATGGGTTGTATCCTGTAATTTTCTACTGCCATGCTGATGGATGAATTCCACTAAACCTGCCACAACCTGTCTTACTGCTGCTAAACATTCACTACATTCACTCCATGAGGGAGATGGTGACTCTGAAAAATAAAATCTATTTAATTTTTTAACATTAAAAATTTGTAATTATTTAAATAAATGAAAGTAGATTTAAGGTAGTTATATCTCAAGTACAGAGCGCAGCTGTGTGTGACAAAGATTGATGGAAACTTATTTATTTATTTATTACAATCATTTGGCAAGTTTTTAAAAATTTTTGCAGGAATCAGCCTAATTGTATCATTTATTTTATTAGTTTCTTTAAACGAAAAATGCAAACTGAAACAAAAAATGTTTGTTAAAAAATCTGTAGAATGACAGAGCACGAGCAAACTAACCGTTCTTCAATGTGCGACGTTTCCGCGTTTGATTTATGTGAATAATCACATGAAAAACTTAAAAGTTTAAGTATTAATATCTTTAATCCTAGCTGACCAATCCTTTCCAGATTGTTATATATACAAATTAATTAGTCTTGCCTAAAATTTGAACAGTTTCTTGAATGAAAACATCATTAAGCCTTACTAAACATAGCCAACTTTGATTAAGCATAACTCAGAAACTATGTGGTAAAATGAACTGAAATTTTGCAAAAGTATCTATCAGGCGCATAATTAATTATGCTGAAGGTTTCGTAATTATCTGGAATAGTGTCCATTTAGGTGATAGCTACTACATTAACAAGTTACATGATATTTGTTTCAAGTACAATGGTTTGTTGGGTCGTTATGCCGAATCTTTGACCTGATCTCACAGCGACTCAGTTGCGGTGAAGCTTTCACATTCACCACTGAAGATGCCTACAGTGAAGAATGGCGAAACATTAGTGGCCTTAGAATCAGTAACAAGAACCGAAATAAACATCAGGGCAAGCCTAGGGGTCTTAATATCCTAAGGTCTAACCCGAGAACATAGGCAAGTCAAAGATTCCTAGTTAAGCTGAAGTCTGTATAAGACTGTAATTGGCAGCGAGCAGTTATACATTTCATGGCATAACAATCCGAACAATCATGGTACTTTAAATATCAGCGAAAGCCATAAAACTGCTAAAATCTTTTTTCCTTACAAATTCTCTCGGTTATAAATATTACAAATTATGAGTAAATTAAATCAAGGTATCTATTTATTTACATCTGTAATTCATATAATATTCATGAATATCAATTAAAATATGTATTAAAAAAATTGTGGATGTATAGGTAACGGAACCTTAACATTTTATAAAATTCCTTTGTAATGTAATAAAAACTAAATAAAATAATGTGGTATAACCTTGTGGTATAATAAACTTAGCTAAGAACACATTATTGTATTAGATTGTGATGTCACAAGTTAATACATTTTGCACGTCTATTACATTATTTTATATAGTAACATACACTATGGGAGTTTACAAAAATAAACTCCTAGTGATTGAAAAGATCATTCAAAATACCTGAAATTTCTAAAATCCTAATTATATTGATGTCAGAAGGTGAAAACATGCTTAAATAATGACATCAATTTCAATATCTAACAATCCCAGATAGCCTCAGATAAATCAGCCATCATTCTTAGTTATTATTTAAAATACCTAGCCAATGATTTAAAACTCCAGTAACAACTAGTTTCAATGCAGAAATCTGAAGAAAATCTTCATATCACCAAAAACAAACACCCCAAAGGGAATAAAAAACTACTATGTCCACGTAGTTATTCCTGGGTAGTGCTAAAAGTAGTTAATCTTAAGTAGTAGTCAGTCTTTTGACCTTAAAATGACCTTGATATCTGATCTTGTTCTTGAGGTTAAGTTCGAGGTCAAAATAAAGGGTCCATTTAAAATTTTGAATTTGATCCTCAAACGACCTTGAAGTCAAGGTAATTTTCAAGGTCATGTCAAGAGGGCCCCCTTTTCCCCCTACAAATTTTGTATTAAACATTTTTTTTAAGTGATCCCAACAAGGTACTCCATTGTCTCGAGATTTTTGTTTTTTTTCTTTTTTCATGGCCATTTTATGGCCAAAATATGGGTTAAATCAATAAAATAAGAACAAAAAGTTTTTTTCGTTTTTCAATTGAAATCAGTGGTAAAAAATGGGTGTTTCTATTTAAAAAAATCTACTTCTGGTCTAAAAACACCACTTTCAAGTCAATCTGGTCCTTTCAATAGTCCCCTCGATGCCCTACAACAGGGGTGCTCAAACGGTCGATCGCGATAGCATCAGAAGTTCAAACTGAATTATAAAGCAACCACCTTTCGTCAGTCACTCATACGTCTTCTGTGGAAAGTGGGGTATTGCAGATGATTTCATACATCTCAAAGCAAGAGTAAGTGATTCAAAATTTTGGCCTTTTATATCTGAAGATAAATATCCAGGTTTAAAACAAATTGCGCTTCAAGTAACCGGATTGTTTGGATATCTATGCAAATGTGTGTTTTCTGGAATGAAAATAATTAAATGCAAATATCGCAGTCGACTTACTGAAAAACACGTCATCGTGTTTGCGATAGTCAATCAGCAATTACGTGCCATCTTATGAAAATTTTTTTTTAGTTACATTGCAGTTTTTTGTATCTAGTTGGCCAGTAATCAAATAACGACAGCCCCCCCACTCAAATTATTTTTTTTTGTGGAAGATCGCCAAGTCTGAGCAACCCTGCCCTACAGTTTTTGTCTGAAACTTTTTTTTCGAAATAATCGAGTCCAACCGAGATATTATTTTGTCTTAAGATAAATGCCCCACCCAGTATATCTATGAATTATAATTATAATTATATAGCTAAAAGATAAATGATGCTTTTAAAATGACAATATCCTGAAAGCGTGCAGTTACAACATTTTTCCAGTGATTAAATATACTTGGAAAATGTCAGGATTTTCTTGTATTTGTTCCTTAGCATCGAAAATCCATTGACAAATAAATAAAAATCTATTTTTACTAATTGACCTATTTATAGTATCAAATAGACATACAATAACTAGAGAATCTTCATGAATATTTTTATTAGTTAACTTTACTTTTTATTGCATGTTTTTTTATCATACTCATAATTCTTTACTATTTTTTTCTTGAAAATTGACACGATTAGGACACGACTACTTTTCACTTATTTTGACCTAAGCTATCACATACAATAATTCTAGTTATGAATGCTAATTACTTTTTTTATGAAATGTAGTTTTGAAAAGTACTCTAATACCATCATCTAGTTAGCTTTTGTTGTACCTGTTTCTATGATTGTTAAATTCCGAAATTTAATAAATTGTATTGAAAACATATATTTTTCAAAAAATAAACACTAAATTTATGTACTAGGTAGATAACTAAACCAGTAATCCTATCATAAATAATATTGTTATGACACAAACCAAGTCATAGGAGTAGTCGAGGGGTAGTGTGTGGCCATACCTCCTCTCCCAAACTCCAGAAAATTTAAAAAAGTAGATTAATTTTTATAAAGAAAGTCGGAGATATATTTTTTCTAAAAGGTCTGCTACTGCCCCGATTACATATAAAAAAGTAACTGACAATTAAACAAAATTACTAAAATTTTTATTTTAAAAACTTGAATTTCAATTTTTATTTTAGATAAATATTAACTACTAGTTTTTTACTAGATATAAGCCATATATGATCGACTTTCTAATTTCATAATGGTTTCACAAAATTCTCCATCACTTAATCTTTTTATAATACCTATTCATTTTATATTTTAATTTTAAACTTATATATTTTATCATGTTTATTCGATGAGCTGGACATATCGACTACTAATTATAAAATAGAACCAAATTAAGTATATGAAATAAGAGATTACATTTATTTCTTGCTTCGACACGAATATCTAGGAAAATCGAAACTCTAAAATTTGAACATTTTTTTAAATATTTGAGTTAATAGAAATTAGTCCAGATTAAGGCGTGTCCCAATAATCATGGTTCTACAGTACTTTAGTCTTCATATGAAAACGAACATTCGAAATATAAATATTCACTTACCTGGACTAGGATCTATGCCCGCCAATAATTCGAGATGGTTCCTTAATACAGACAATTTGCCTGGATCACCGGTTCTTTGAAGAGCTATTACAAGTTCCTGAACAGATTGAGCAAAAGACTGAGGTGTCTGTAACTTGTCTATTATACTTTGCATGTGAGATTTGTGGGCTGTATCACCATAAAGTAAAGCAGACCATTGATCTGGAGCAATTCTTAGACCTGCTTCAGTGGCAATTTGTACTATTTGAGCGTCATGTTCACGTCTTAGTGCATCATATGTTCTAAATTCTTCCTTTAATTGCATTAATGACGAATCCCCTTCTCTTTTAGAGACCTATAAAAAAATATTTTAAAATATTCAAATACTGCTCAACAGTTAATACAATATTTAGTACAATATTTATTTACCTTAAAACACGATGCTCGATAAAGTAACTGAACTACATGGCCAATGCTAGTTTTTGATGCTTGAGGAAAATGTGGTTCTAAACGTTGTACAACAAACATAACCAAAACTTTTCTAGATAAAGCAGAACCATCTTCTAATGCTAGTAATACTAGTTTAAGTACTTCCTCTTGCATAGCTGAAATATAAAAGTTACGGTATTATAGTGGCTAAAATTACTACAATTATGAAACTTGTTTTGGTTAAAATGGTTCACTGTATATTTGGTATTTTAAAAGTTTAGGTAATTTAATTAATATAGTAGTATAAATTGTAAATACAAATAATCTTTTCAATTAATCCTCAAAGATGTTGTGATATAATAATTGATATATTTGTTACCAACAGTAAAAGAGAAATGATCAAAAAGGTATCCCTAAAGTGTATAATGACTTAGATTAATATAAAATTAGGTATAATGTTACTGTAATGCAAAATACATAAACATTGTTACAAATGAAAAATATATCTACCTGGTCCCAAAAACTGACAGCCTCTAGCTCGTACAGCTGCCCACAAATTAGCAGAAAGTTGTTGAGGATTTTGGTGTTGCAAAATAAGTTCTGTAACTGTTCTTTCACCCAACGATCTAGCAGCACGCATTGCCCTTGTTCGGCCTTCATCTTCCACTAGTTGACAGTTGATTAATGTTACCAATTTTCTTTGCATAGGTCTTGATAAAATACTTCCACTCCCACATACATTACCATTCGGGTGTGGCTTTAGGTAAAGGGCTAATTCTTCTACACATTTTTTGCATTCCAAATAATGGCTAATATGTTCCCTTGGCACAATTTTTGTATCGATTTCTTCATTGTCATTTTTTACAGTTGGTCCAACAAGTTGCAGTAAAGCTGTATTGACAGGCAAATTTTCTACATCTATACTGATGTTCGTCTGATCAAAAGGACATTGCTTTCTATGTAGATTTGAAAGACAACCCTTGCATATTGTATGACCACAACCTAAACTTATTGGGCTGCGCTGTTTTTCATCAAAAGAATTGCAGCAAACTGGACATGAAAGGAATTCCGTCCACTGGGGTGCCTGAATGGGCATTCTAAAATTTTAAATTAACATTATTTGTAACATAAGTTCGGTTGTCAAAATCAGGTGATGACATTTTCATATGCCAATGTGGCAAGGTTTTCCGCTAATATATTGTCTAATTAATACTATTTTTTAGGTTTATACTGAAATATACAACAAATTATATCAATTACATGCTACAAAATGAAAATAATTGTATTTACCTTAATAATTCGTAAAAATAATCACATCATGAAGTACCACAACACAATCACAACATTTGTTGTGAAATCGTTCTCGGACTCTGGCAATGATAAATATATTCTGGAATGTCAACGTCATACGTCAATGCTGCCGTGACGACACAATTTAAAGGTAACTTTAATTTTTCATCACAGAAATTTCTACGATATTTGGAACAGTTCGGTGTTCGGTGCCATAGACAATAGAAAAAGGAGATCATGTCTGAGAAATTGGACGCACAGATTTGATCAATTTAAACAGGGAGACTAGACAAGGAGCACGAACTCATACGCGGGAAAATTGACAAAATTTGTCCAAGAAATGGCAGAAGTTGGGGTGGCGCTAGTGTTCCATGTGTCCCAAGTGAATGTAGCTTCATAAATACGAGTGAAGTAAGCAAATAACCAATTTTATTTTATAATGAGTTTAGTAGATATATTGGGGAGGTATACTAATATAAAAACTGGAGGTCAAGTCAATAATTATTACAATTTGTTTTTATAATGGTAAATAAAAAGTTTCGAAAAGCGCCAGAAAAAAGGGCCCTAGCCGGCGGGGCCCAGCCAGGACAAAAGGAGGTCCCACAAAGCGCCTACACCGGCCGCACTTGTGGTCGGTGTAGACGACGGATGGGGCCTACCTACGAAGGCTGTCCAGGCCTACACGAGATGAGGCAGGATAGAGGGATAATCCCCCTCGATCCCAAATCATTGAGGCCAATTTCTAGCCATGGAATAATGGCGCGCGGCGTGAGAGTTTATTGTACTTTGAGAAAAAAACAAAGCATAGATTAGGAAAAACAATGAAGACGAATAATAAAAATGCCATACTATAGAAAGGGAATTAAAGGGAGGGAGCGATTATTAAAGGTAAATATATAAGACAGATTAATTTACAAGCTTATTATTTATAAATTTATTAATGTAAGTCTGGGTTATATCACAGTATAATCAGTAAAAACATAGATTTCTTATAAATAGGTTTTTTGTGACCTTGAATAAGTCTATCATGCAAGTGTTCATAATTTTTTCTATAATGTAGTTTTTGCCAAGTTTGAAACAAGTTTGGTTTATAGCCTGATATTCTATCACCTTTTTAAGTCGAGGCTTTATTAATCCCTGTTTCTATACAGGGAGTAACTTTGAGTGGGGGTCATATTTATACAGAGGCTTCCTTTGACCTTTAGAAACAGGTGTCAATAGTTTATTTTGTAAAATTACGTCATAAAAACTAAATTTTTTATAGTAATTTTCGTACCCTACCGCTGGACAAGCTAGTGTAACAAACAGTACTTAACAAGTAACCTAGCAAAAAAAATCAAGCAGTAATGAATGATGATAAATGAAATACCCACACAAAAATAAAAAGTCTGTTTAATCACATGAATTTTATAACACTTCTCTGAATTTGTTCCAGCCCAATATTATTGTATTGGCATTCAAAGCTTGCATAATCTCTTAAATGTGTAAGTTGTAATTTTTAACTATGTGGACCTAAGGAATGATAGAGTTCTTTGGAATTTAATAACAAAATTGTTTTCTGTTTAAATATAACTTCAACTTTACAGTTAGATTATCTTCAATACGGAACTGACACCCTTTGCTTTGTCACTGTTGACCTGCACTATCTCCCTTCGCAACTCGCATGCACTGTGGGTTGCCAACAAATCATGTATTTGTAGTACATGATGATAGTGACGGCGTATTCAAGAATTAAAATGCATTTTAAAAAACTAATTATAACTCGACTATTTGATGAAAAACAATCAGATTCTTATTCAGGGGAACATGTATCATTACCCCTAAAAAACTGATCCCCATTTAAATTTACACCCTGTATAGAACCAAATAAATCTTCAAAAAATATTTTTAACTTGCCTTTCTAAACTTCCAATTTTGCTTTTTCTAATCCATATAATTTACAATACGCCAATTTTTTGTTTGTCGTATTTCAATAGCACCTTCAATACTTTTTATTTCTTCAACTTTTAAATATCTCTTCTTTTCTTTTTGCATTGTATTATGATAGCCTTCAGATTTCTATGTACTAAGAATGCCAACAAGACGTCCTTGTAAATACAGAAATTAATGAATTTTCACATAAATAGAACAAATTCGCAAAATTATTGTATGTACTGTTTTTTCATTTTTTGTTAAATTTGTTTTTAATTACATAATTCCTTTGTTGCTCGTACAAATTCTATGTTTTTCACTTTTAAGACACACTGAACAAAATTACCTCAATTTTTGACACTGTTTGGATGAATATGCTCATTTGTTAATTTAGATGCTCCTCTAAAATATTGGATATTTTCTTTTAGAAATATACGTAATTCTTTTATTAAAAAAAAATCATATTTAAGCAAATTCCAAGAGCTTCCTCTAAATGTGAAGTACAAAAAAAGTATTTTTACATTTAGTTTACTCGAGAAGTTTAGAAAATTCGATCCAATGTAAAAAATAATAAGCTTTTACTTTATGCTTTACAAATCACAGCCTGTCAAAGTAGACCGATCAAAATAACTCATTTAAAGGGGAAAAAAAAAGAAAATTGTTACCTGGACTTTTATAAGTGGAAATGGTAAAGGGGCTTATAAGAAACGAAAAAAAAGAAAATAATAAATGCCTGAGCAGGGGTGGCGGAGGGTTGATTTGAGGGGTGGAAAAGTTATGAAAAATTGTATCATTAGGATTTCTGGCGAAAGTTGACGTCAGACAAAAAAGTATCTAATACAAAAGTTGTAGATCATGTAAAAATCTACAACTTTGTAGAGGTCATTTTTAACATAATCTCAAAATTTCCGAGAAATATGCGAAAAACAGTTTTTTTTCTGATTTTTCGTTTTTCATTTCTCATTTTCACAAAAATAATTTAATTTTGACGAAACTTGGTGAGTTTTTTGTCTGTCTTAAATAATTTCAAATTTTTTTAGATAAAAAAATCAAGAAGTTTCCGAGATATTCATTTTTTTCAGCCTGAAACACTTTTTTTCAAAGAAAAATTCTACTTAAAAAAATCATCGTACAGAGTTCTGCCGGTAATAATTTTTTTCATATTGACATAATGACATATACTTTTTGGTGAAATAAAAAAAATCGTAATCACAGCTCAAAAACATGTTCAAAAATGCAAAAAAGTAAAAAATGACTTCAGCAATGAATTTTTCAGTAATTGTTGANAGTACGTTCCTGTGACGTCACTCACTACCGCCGGCTGCCAACCACCGCTGCCGATAAACTAGTAGTCAAGGGTCGTCATAAAATTAGGCGTCCAAATAAGGACGTCAGTGACGTCAATAAATCCAGTAAATTAGAATTCGCAATTGTGAATTAAGATTCCGTTTAGAGTTGGTAGTATACCGGGGGCGGCCATAAGTAATGTAAATAACCGTCACCACCACCAGAACCGAAACCGCAGGAAAGTGCGTTACAAAAATTTGGCGAACCCAAGCAGGGAGGTTACAAAAATTTGGCAACCGAGAAAAATACGTTACAGTAGACCGATCAAAATAACTCATTTAAAGGGGGAAAAAAAAAGAAAATTGTTACCTGGACTTTTATAAGTGGAAATGGTATAATAAACGAAAAAAAAAAATAAAATAAATGCCTGAGCAGGGGTAGCGGAGGGTTGATTTGAGGGGTGGAAAAGTTATGAAAAATTGTATTAGGATTTCTGGCGAAAGTTGACGTCAGACAAAAAAGTATCTAATACAAAAGTTGTAGATTATGTAAAAATCTACAACTTTGTAGAGGTCATTTTTAACATAATCTCAAAATTTCCGAGAAAAATGCGAAAAACAGGTTTTTTTCTGATTTTTCGTTTTTTATTTCTCATTTCGGCAAAAATAATTTAATTTTGACGAAACTTGGTGTTTTTTGTCTGTCTTAAATAATTTCAAATTTTTTTAGATAAAAAAATCAAGAAGTTTCCGAGATATTCATTTTTTTCAGCCTGAAACACTTTTTTTCAAAGAAAAATTCTACTTAAAAAAATCATCGTACAGAGTTCTGCCGGTAATAATTTTTTTCATATTGACATAATGACATATACTTTTTGGTGAAATAAAAAAAATCGTAATCACAGCTCAAAAACATGTTCAAAAATGCAAAAAAGTAAAAAATGACTTCAGCAATGAATTTTTCAGTAATTGTTGATAATTTGTTTAAATTTAAAAAAAATCAATAACTGATTACACCATTCAATTGTACGGAAAAAATGCAAAAAAACTGTCTCATTGTTTGACCCAAAACCATTTTTGTACAGTATTGCTATAAACAAGTCGAATAGTGAATAAATAAAATAAATAATATTTTTTTCCGTAGGATCAATTAGTGTACTTATTTTTTTAAAGTTTGATGAATTCATAGATATACAGTGTGTCCAAGATAAGGATGGGATAGGCATTAGGATCTAGGAAACGGTAAGAGATACGGTGTGGCTCAGATTATAAAAAAGTTGTTTTTTTTATACCTAACAATATGCTGTTTAGAAAGTTTTAAAATTCCTGGTAGTTCCGGAGATATCCGGAAAAACCCGAAATTTTGCAAAATTGTTTAATTTTGTCTGGCTTTATTTGAAAACGGATTTTAAAATAAATTACATATTTACAATACAACTTTTTTCGCTCTATATAATGGCGTCGACATTTTTGCAATCCGACGTTTCATCTTCAAGGGCCGTTAATTTTTTTAAATATGTCGCTGCTATTTTTATGACAAAATCTAGTCATTTTTTATTCTGAATTAGAGGATATTACTATTGTAAAAGTTTGTTAACCTTTTTTTTTGCATTTTTCTCAGAAATTTTGAAGTTATGTTAAAAAGTGACCTCTACAAAAGTTGTAGATTTTTGCATGATCTACAACTTTTGTATTGGATACTTTTTTGTGTGACGTCAACTTTTACCAGAAATCCCAATGACACAATTTTTCATAACTTTTCAACATCCCAAATCAACCCTCCGCCGCCCCTGCTCACGAATTTTTTTTAGGTTTATTATAAGTCCTTTTACCATTTCCACTTATAAAAGTCTAGGTAACAATTTTTTTTTCTCCAAGTGTAATTTGGTTGGACTAAAGGGACATTCGATGGTATTAAAAAACATTACCTACTGTTCTTATCTATCTTATCTTGTCTTGAGTATCATGAATTTACAAATACATAAGCCAAAAGCTTTTTTCAACTGACATGTATCCCTCTGGTCATTAAAACAATAGCAAACTTGACTGGTTGGAATAGTTTTGTTTGTTTCAATTTGATGGAACTTGACCTTTGCTAAAATTATAAAACAAATTTGTCTTCGATGACATTTCATCAGTACAAAGCACACTTTAGTTTTCATACTCATAGTTTGTGCTATTATTTTAGGGGTTAAAAAAGATATCGGTTAGAATGATGGAAATTCTCATTTTTGAGTCGTTCTTAAAGTTTTTACAGAAGGTAAGGCAAAAGTTTTAGTTAGAAAATTATATGCTTGTGGGCTAAGATAATATAATGTTAAAACAAATTGCCTGTACTCGTGTGAATACTTATTCTTTTTTGACAATTCAATTTGAAATTTAATAAAGGAAGATAGATTGGAAGGCAGGAGTTTATCGCATAATTCCTTTAAATTGTCAATGTCATTTTGCAAACTATTTAAGGAAGAATTATCATTCGTTAAATTGCTTTTTACATTTTCCTTAACTTTGGCAGATAATTTGTGAGGTGTGTGGCTTGATAAGTAATGTGATGTTTGAGTGCTCGCAGAGGGACTAGGTGATGACCTCAAGGCTGCATCATTAGATGATATTTCCATTGAGTGGATACTTCCATTATCTACACTTTCTAAATCACAGTATTCTTCTTTAAGCTCTTGTAATCCTATTAAATGAGAATAACATTATACAGGGTGTTTCAGGATTAAGTCGACAAAATTCGAATTTTTTAAAAAATCTTTTAACGCCCTATATTTTGAAAATGAAGCGTCTGGAAAAAAATTTATACTTGATTTTTTTCTTTTTCCCTTAAAGTTCGTCGACTTAATCCTGAAACACCCTGTATAAAAATTATAGCAAATAAATTGCTGTAAAAAATGATTTGAACTAGATCTTACTAAATAATTATGCAAAATCAAATCGAAATTAGAAAAGAAATAATAGAACTTCAGCACTATAGTCTGAACAATATGATGAGTGACTTGAATATAACAAATTTCAGGAAAAGAGTGGGCCCATAACCTCGACCATACCGTAAGGATAGCTTTCTTGGGTAAAAATAAACCATTTTAGATCAAATTACCTTACTATAATTTTTCTACCTTAAAAAATTCTCAACCTTTTCGTATTTACATGAAATTGTCGCAGATATGATGGAGGTGTATCTCCATACTAAATTAGAAAAAAATAAACTGAAAACTGAAATAAACCAAAACATTGATGTAATAAATGAAAATATCTCGCTTGAACATCGAGAATTTTTTTCAGATGCGAAACATTAATTTCCTTGTACACGAAGGTTTTTTTTAGTTTAAGTAATTTTTACACTGGGAACCCACACACAAATCATCTTGTTTTGACTTTGAAAATTAAACTTCAAATCATTCCATCTATTAGCTGACCATTTGATCATTGATAATAAAAAATATATATACTAAAATAATGTAAATTGCATGCACGAACAAAAAAAAAAAAGGATTTACTTTCTGTTATAGTCTCAATTGCCCAATGTATGCTGCCAGTGGAATGAGAAAAAATACAGGAAGAGTGCTTCAACCGGTACTCTCGAAAACAACGCAGAATATATCCCTCTATTATTCAGACATTCTCAGGTTGTCCTATTGACACCTCATACCACAACATACGTTGGGGGGATATACTGATATGTAAGAATAAGAAATCCTTCGGATATCCAAAAGACGACCTAGGTATATCCGCCATTATATTCAGACAACCTTAGACCATTTCGAGGATAGCGATAATCCAAATTATGTGTAGGGCATACGGTAGGATATCTGGAGAATATCCTGATTTGAAAAATAAGATATTCCCCTTACGGCTCGACAGCCAGAACTGTACAAATCTGGGGTATAGGCGAATATCCCATCAGATATCCTAAGGGTATCTTTAGAATAGGTTTGTGCTATTTGAGAATATTTAAGTGCATTACATAAATGAGTTTAGTGTGGGTGATATATAAATAAATAGTCGTTACCAATTCTATACGTTTTCTTAAAAATATTGACAAATTTACCTGGTAATAACGAAAACCGTGTTGGTACGGCGTGCCGCTGGAGACGATTTTTCAAATCATTCAAAAACATTACGTCTTCAAAATGCCAACCACAAAGCTTACAATTCTCATGGCAATACTTCGTAGTTTTTTTAAGTAGATCCATGCGGCCACAGTTGATAGCCCATTGTCTACAGCTGGAAATTTAAAAAAGTTGTAAAATTTATTTCACTATTACCTTTATACTTACCCACCGCTCTTCATTCATAGGAAAACTAAAAAAACTTATATTTGTAGTCTTTGAATTGGCTTTACACTGTCCAGCAGAACACCAACGACCACCTTTTTTTTCTTTTTTCATTGTACTTGTACTGTTTCAAACTAAATTATTTACGTGACTACTTAGTTTTACGTAATAAAATTAATATTAAAATTTGCACTTCTCAATCTCAATTTTCAATATATTCTTTTTCTTTTCGTCTTTGTAATCTGTGCCCACCTTTATTTTACCATAGAGGAAACAAATAAGAGGTTAACTGATAACATATAAATTATAAATTACTGTCAACAGTGTCAACGGCAAAATGTGACTGTCAGAACCATCTACTGTTCTAAATTGGAAGTATGTGATTAAGCTCAGGAAACTGTTAATACAAGGCTATTTCCGAGCGAGCAGCCGAACTGAGCAGAAGTATCCGTGCAATGAAGTGCAGTGCATGGAGCAAGATCTATCTGCCCTTATTAAGGCTACATGGAAAGAATTCCTTTCTTTCCTCTTAATCACCGACCTAATCCTCGGTATAAACATAGAGGCCGTCGGCATCTTTGTTACAGGTACCGGTGCCGGGTTTATACCCAGGTAAGTCTTACTTTTACTTATTTATAAGTTATTTGTATTACTTTAGAATACATTGCTTTAAAATTGCGACCGCGCGCTATTATTCCATGACTACGCCATTATTCCATGGCTAGAAATTGGCCTCAATGATTTGGGATCGAGGGGGATTATCCCTCTTTATCCTGCCTCATCTCGTGTAGGCC